CAAGAAGTAAAAGTCACTAGCCATGATTGAGTTAAGTAAATTCCTGGCAGGAGTATCATGCTTTTCATAATTATGAATGCCTCGTCAATGCTTATGATTTTCGTAGAACTTAATGATCTTTGATATGTATCTCTATCATGCTGTTGATATAGGGAACTTGATAAGAATAATTTGATTGCGTTGCTGAGTCAAATTCAATGAAATTAGGAAATCTGAGAGTTAATTAGTGTTGTTCACGATTAATTTGGGGCATTATCATTCATGGTTTATAGGAATAATAATTGGAAATCGATTTGTACGCATATGGTTCATGTGTGGAGAAGAATCATCTAGCTAGCCTTTCACCCAATTTTCATTCACAATTTACTTTGTTTGATGCAATTTACTTTAGTTTTTTTAAATTCGACCAAAAATCCCCATATCATTGTTTTGGTGTGAGTTAGTCAGTTTTTAGGGTTTTTGTGTCAAAATTGTGTTGATTAGCATCCCTTCTAATCCCTGGATAGAACGATCCTTATTTACTCATAGTACAATTGCATTAAAAGGGTTTAGTTTGAGTGTTAGTTTCTACCACATCAAATTTTGCCACGACAATAAGAGTAACCTTGCCACCACGGAGCACCACCACCATGGCAGCCACGACAATTGCCATGGCAATGGAGAGTGGGACAGCTCAATGGCAGCTAGGCCACAAAGTAACAATAATTGCAGCCCACGGAACAACAGCCCAGGAAGCAACTATAAAGTAGAAAGCCCACGGGGCAGTGGCCTAGCAAGCTACTGCAACATAGTCAGCCCAAGAGCTATAGGCCAGTATGTCAGGCCAGCCCAAGCCGTGCAGAAAAAAGGAAAGGCCCAGAGTCCATGCGCCTCGGCGACCCAGCATGCGCCAGCGATCTGACCAGTGCCATCGATCCAACCTGCACCCTCAATCAAGTCTACTCATGTGGCCCACCTTACTGCCTAAATTGGTCCAAGATCAATTTAATCGTCCCAACTTTATATTTTTGGACCAATAATTGAACCGGGGGTATTTTTACCTCGTTTTTTACAGATTTGATATATCTCAGCTTAAATCTCATGCCTGGAGTCCATTACACTACCACCACTCAAGAAGACGCATATCGTCTAAGCTCTTCCACCCCACATGGCAAACAACACTTGTCTCGACAAGTCATAGAGTTGACAAGCACCCTCGTGCAGTAAACGACCTTGGTGAATCAGCTTTTGCACCGTACCAAGATGCAGCGTACCCCAGATGATGTGTACTGAAGTAAGACGAAGGTAGACGACCAACCTTTTTAGCAGCGTCTTGGCAAGCAGCCCCTCGACCAGCCACTAACTGAGCATTCTAACAGTGTACACTCTCGACTGGTCCCCCGAGATAGTGTATACTCTCGCCTTAACGAGCGGATGAGCGTGCACTCCCCATTAAGCCCAAAGACTAGCATATATTCATGGTTGGGGTCACACTCTGATAATCAACATGGAAAACCTTCCAAGTGAAGTGTTTATTTGCGGCAAGTTTCACAAGGAGCATCATTCATCTCATATCAAAGTACACAACACAACAGACGAAGAGAAGCAGTCACTTAATCTGGCTCAAGTTTAACCGGCTGTTTGCGAGTAACCTGTTCACCTGTCATGTCATGACCAAGAGAAGCTAGAAGCTGTGCTGCCCTAACAAAGGAAAATTCAGGAAGAAGTTGAGAGATTCCTGACCGAACGATTGTGCGACTTCCAACACAACAAAGCTAAAGACAAAGCAACTTGATGAGACAAGAACAACATAAGCAGGTCACTTTTCATTGATAAGATCAAGCAAACGGAACCATCCCACATACACTGATGGATACAAAGATTACTTCTATTTCAAAAAACGTAGCAACACAGCTTAAGTGTGCGCCACGAGCTGACGGGTACCAGAAGAACACTCTAGCCTAAGAATCGAGGAGAAGTCTTATTCTTAACACTAAAGACATTGTTGCACACAACCTAGTCCAATCTAGCTCTAGCTCCGCGCTAACAGCCGCACCTACCTGCTCTGCGGTTCACAATCGCACCTATCTTGCACCACTACTCCTAACCGTGCTAAAACCTACTCCGTGGATCCTAGCCGCCCTCGATTTGTCACCTCAGCTCCCAGCCATGCCAATCTTGCCCTGTAGCTCCTCGCTAAGCCGACTTTCTCTCCACAGCTCCCAATCAAGCCTCAAAAGAGTACACGATGAAACATCTAAGGATGGCACAATACTTAGAAAAGGTCCGGGAGCAGCTCATTGTGCTTCCCACTTACACCCTTATGCAGGCTCCAAAAGCAATTTGAAGTCTTTAGTAGATCGCCGAACATGACCTCACAATTGAGGATTATTTTAATTGTGTAGCAGTCCAACTTTCCTCAGTTGCATTCGCGACATTGACTTCCATGCTCTTCAGTGTGAGGGGATAAACTAATTGTTCTCCAATGCGAGAGGGTAAACCAATCCCCTGACACCCATATGGGTAAACTCTCTAGTGCGAGAGGAGAAACTAATTGCTCTCGTGTAATAAGGTAAACCAAGCCCCCAACACCCATCTGAGTAAGCTCTCCAGTGCAAAAGGGTAAATTAATTCCCAACACCCATCTAGGTAAGCTTTCTAGTGCTAGAAGGTAAACCAATTTCCCGACATCCATCTAGGTAAGCTCTCTAATTTGAGATGATAAACCAATTCTTCGACACCCACATGGGTCTACTATTCAACGGAAGGGGGCAAACTGCCCATGAATTTCCATATAACTACATATTTTGATGTGATTAGTTAATGATTTTCATATTCCACAAATCCTTATTATGATGTGATGTAGGCCACACAGCTCAATGATCAAATACTTGAATACCACCTAAGCAGCAAATGGTCAGGGGGCAGCAACCGACGCCTAACTCAATAGCTGGACACCCAAAAAGCTAACACTCATGACCATAGTGACTCTTTGGGGCCATATTCTTTTTTTCGAAGTAGCGTGCCCAACTGACGATTTTATGGCTAAAAGTTTTGCATGACGCTTCACAAACAAAGTTTCAAGAAAAACAAAGATGGAGTGAAGCGAAGAAAGCGGTTTATTAAATTTCTAGCAAATTGATAAACTTATACGAAGGTCACCGAAATTCGACACAAGGTAAACAGAGCAGATTACTCATTTAGTAGCTTGGATGACCTTGGTTTCTCTAGCAGCCATCCTGCCTTCAAGAGCCACTTCAAATTCAACAGTTTTCTCACCCGACATTTCATCTTCAATAGCTCCGATCTTGGCAGCACCATCCTCGATTACTCCATCTACAACAACTGAGAAATCAAACTGAAGCAGTTTCTTTCTTCTTGGCAAGCAGCACAGACGTGGCAGCAGCAAAAGGAGCAAGCTTTGATGCCTCTTTAGCAATCAAATGATTTCTTCTCAGCTAAAGGTCCAGTAAGCAAGCTAACATACCAGAACTGCACCCTAGTGCCTCAAGCTCCGACCTCAATTGCTCAGCTGCCCTTGGCTCCAGCCAAGCCGAGCAACCCAAATTATGGCTTATGCCACGCCACTTCCTCGACTCATGTTGAGCCAGCCCTTGGATCCAACCAAGTCAAGGAGCCCTAAGTCATGGCCTCTGCCACACCACATCCTCGGCCAATGCCGAATTGACTCCTGGCCCCTGCCAGCCGACATGCTGCACCACCTCGGCCGCTGCCCTGTGACAGCACCACCTAAGAAGAAGACAAAGGAAATTAAGTTTTTCTTACCTTGGTGCAGCACAGAGAAGACAAAGAAATCAACGGAAGACGGTTCTTTACACGAGCAAGCGAATAAGAATGCTAAGGGATGGGGAACAAATATTTTTTAGCTTTCTCTCTTTCTTGTAAGGATAAATAATTGCCCTTCGAAGTTGATTTAATCCCCTACTTAAGGTAGGCTTAAATAGGCTTTGGTGGCAATTTATTTTCCTTTCCTAGAAGAATCTAATTCCAAGTCCAAGTGGGAATCTGCATCAAAGTTTGAGATCTATACACCTACTGCCCTTTCCTGCGAGCAGCCCAACAGGTGTAGAGGCATTTGTGGAGTCAAAAATAATACAAAAATCGTGGAGATGACATGTGAATTTTTGGACAAGAAAGACAAGATTACCCTCGAGGCACGTTGGAATTCCCAAGCGCGTGCAACGGACAATAAAAGCTCAATCAAGGAAGAGTCAAAGGTGATCAATATGGTATTTATTCAAATTCTTCTCATCACTCCCCATCAATCCCTAATTGATTTTATTCAAACGGTAACTCCTAAAACTTCCTATTTAATTTAGGAATAATTTCCATGTTAATTGTAAGATATTATTTCGCATAATATCCTGCAATGATTCACCCAATTACACCACATATGGCCGACCATTCTCCAACAAAAGGGCTGGCCACCCTCCTATAAATACCCCTCTTATCCAACTAAAATGCTAAGCTATTTGCTAACCACAAACTCCTAAACACATTCTCTTTAGAATTCTAACTTTGGCATCGGAGATTCTTCAGATAAAACCCCTCCCCTCCCATTCATTGTGGGTGTGTGAGGCTTTTGGCCATAATCTTAGGTGTTATTATTTTGCAAGTGCATTTTTATCAAATGAGAAGATGACGTAAATTTGCATCCACGTCTACTATGTCTCCCATGATACTATTTTGATACGTGTCCTCCAACTTATCCAATACTTAACACTATTAAATTTTATTATTTTGTGGTGAAACACAAATTAACAGACTTCAAACTCCAAAGCTTTCCGCCACCAAATTAGCTACAGCAACCACTCTTTTCACCGTCGCCTTCGCTGCCGACAAGCCTCCACTCTCTTCTCTGTCTCTTCAACCTCGTCAACAAAAAAAGAACAGCTATTATTAAATTGGAATCCAATCATCAACTATTTGCATCAGAGTTCGATTCGTCAGCTTCAATTCAGTTCGATTAGATTCTTCTATTGTGGTTCAATTCGATTCCTTAACCGTTAATTACTAAAATAGGAAGAATATGTGTGTATTACCGCTAACGACTTCTATGATACCTGATCTGGTGTAGGAGAAAAAAGAGGCGTAGTGAGGTTATGGTACATGAGAATGATGAAGAAGGTCACAACTGGTGGTGGTTGTTTTGTTGCGATAATTTGTTGTTGTTTTATTATATTCTTTGTATATTAAAGTTAACAGTATTAATTGTTTGGTTAAGTGGATCGACATATGTCAAGTAATTAGCGAGGAAACATGAATGAGACACCAAAAATGGAGATAGCAAACCCAATGCTGTTTTGACGGTAATCATCTTTTTTTTTTTCTTTTTTCTTTTTTTTTTTTTCGTTTTTGCTCCAATTCCTGATAGTTTGTAAAGAAGAATGCATGACTCTGATTCCTGGATACTATGATTCCTGCTTATTCCGATTTCTAGTTAGTTTGATTTGTTCTTACCCTAATTCTTGATTAATAAACATGTTAATATATAACATAAAACAAAAAGTAAATAAAAACAAAAACAAAAAAAGTTGTTAATTGGGCATATTGTTTAATTAGTTACACAAGAGCAAGTTTTCAAGCTTGGTACTAGCTGTTGACTAGTAATTAAAAAGAGGAAGATTAAAAAACTTGGCCTAGTTTTTAACTTCCAGTCAAACATAAAAACTATGTAATCTACATGCTGAGGAACCCTACGCATGATATCCAACTTTTTTTTATTGTCTCCAATAGTCAGGTTTCTTCCTTGTGTTTTTAAATGCGCAGCATCCTATACTATAGACAAGCACGAGGAAGCCAAGGAATACAATTTTGAGAAAGTGCATCCTCTTCCAGGTATCCAGTAGTTGTTCCAAAGTTCCAGCCTTGCAAGAATCGCAGTTGTAGCACAAAACCTTTGGGTCATTGTTCCATGCTTTGCAGTCAGGGCTGGAAGAAGTGCTGTTATTCCTTATCCACACGGTGGGGCTCTTATAACTAAATCCACACTCGGCTAATGGCTTACAGCAACCAGCCTGCAAATCATAAACATGCACATTATTTATCTGCAGTATATAGGAATAGGATCAAGAGACAAACATTTTGACAAATATTTTTACACTTTTTTCGAACCTTTGGATTACAAAACATCCAAAGGTTCATATTCATTCATTAAATGACAATGATGCTTAAGTGGATTTTAACTAATATTAAACATAAAATTAAAATTAAAAAAGCATAAAATATGGAAGGTAATTAAAAATAAAATTAAAAAGGAAGAAACCCTAGTTTTAAGCTTGCAAACAAGAAAGGAGGTAGAACTCCATTGATTTGAAGTATTGCAACCTTCATTTCCCTCTTTGTCGATGAGGTTTGCAACTTTTATAGGATTGATATGAAATTTTGATGACTTTTACAACAAATCAAGCTATTAGTCTCTTGAATCTTCATTACGTAAGCAAAACGTACAAAACCCTAAACTGTATATTATTGTTCATATATGTAGGGTGATTAAATTAGGTTTTTTATAAAATGAAAAAGGAGATTTTCATCCAAGGCATTGCAGGGAGGGGGATGGATGTTACAGTATTTTCCTGTTTTTGCTTTTGTTTTTCTTAGTTTTTGATTTTTTACGCTAGGTTCAAAGTTTGATTATTGGTTTTTTCAATTTTATCCTATTAGATATTAATTTTTAATTTAGATTAGTGTTTTCTTTATTAGTTATAATCCACATCATCATCCAAGTCATTTAATGTTTAAAATTCTCCACATCACTCTTAATCTAGACTGTTGAATCTTATAAAATCTAAAGGCTACAAGGAAGTGTAAAAAAGTTTGTCAAAATATTTGTCCCTTGATATATATATATATATATGGAAAAATTAGTATCCGGTCCTTAGTTTCTAATATTCATTGACTAAGACCTTATTAGTTTTTAGATTTTTATCAAAGTCCCTAACATTAATATATTAGTAAATTATATGTAAGTTACATAATTTTTATAATAAAAATTAGTAATTGATTTAGAGTTTTAATACTCACACCCTTATTAAACTCCTATTAATTTCAATTCAAACATTTTCAAAGTATAAAAAAATAAAATCAGAATAAGTTTGTACCCATTAATTTTTTTATAAAAGAATGATATGTACCCATTCTTAAATATGCCAATTTGTTATATGAAAAATGTACCCTTTTTTTAATATAAAATGTATCCATTTTTCATGTAAAATTAATTCAATCTTTTCTCTAATCCATTTTTTAAAGGGAACATTAATGAAAAGCTTCCGGTACTGTTCACTTTAATGAAAAATCATATTTTTACACTAAAAAGTCCTGGTACTATTCACTTTACCATTTATTTTGTCTTTATCGTTAAAACTCGAAGTTTTCAAACATTTTTCATTAATTTTCCTTTTTTTAAACTTTTATAAGTACATTCTATTTCGTTGATTTAAGAATGTATCCATGTCAAGTTTAATAGAATAAATGCTTAATAATTATTAAGCCTAATATCTTCTTCTTCTTCTTTTTTTTGTGTGTTTTTGAAAAATGTACCCATGTTTTGGTACAATAATGTTTTGGTTAGTTTCTTATGAATGTACCCATGTATACACATATAATATATTGGAGAGTATAATCTATCTTTAATATTTGTAATAATCTCATTAATATAAAAAACTACAAATTTTATTTTTAGTTTAAAAATAAAATAACCTACATAGAAATGCATTATTACATTAATGTTAGAGACTTCAATCAAAAACTAAAAATCACAAAGGTTTTAATCAAAGAACATTGATAGTGTGTGTGTGTGTGTGTGTGTGTATCCTGAAAGTAAAGTAATTGAGGGCCAAAGAAATAATGACATGGTAATTAGGCATAATTAATCAATAAATTTATAAATAAACATAATACTGCATACCATAATGGGGGGCAACTCCTTCATATTGAACTCCTGGATTTTAGTATCATTTTTGGGCATATAATTGCATGCTTGGCTAACAACGAGACAGTTCTTGAGGCTATCCCAACCCTTTCCTTGAACTGTATTCTGCAACCACTCTGCGTAACCGCTGAGCTTGTACTCCTTCAGCTCTGTACCAGGAACCCTAGTTCCACCGCCTGATTTCCAAATGATAAAGAAGGATATGGCATAAATGCTCATGAGTCCGATGAGGAGGAGGAGCATTACTAAGAGGTAGATCCAGAGGAGGCAAGAAATACGACAACACGCACTGATTATGCCTACGATGGACATCACCATGATCAACACGCCCAACACGAGGACAGGCAGCCTAAAAACCTCCAAGCACTGTCCAGCCGCATTTACCCTATACAGCTGCACACCGACAATGACGATTGGAACCGATATCAGGAAGGTGAGGATGTTGAGAAGGCCTAACAGGTTGTTTGCTAGATTCATTCTGATATATGTTATCCCCTATTATTCGAGACCCTAACTCCCCAAAACCATGAGAGGTTGAGCCTAAAAAATGAAGCAGAAATAGATGAAGAAACAACACCAATAGATTGTAGGGATAAGGTTGAATATATATTGTGGAATTCACGAAATGTTATCGGAGATTATACCGTGCGTCCGTACGTATTTGAATCTGTCAACCAGATTTTTCTTCTATTTTTAGCCAGTATGGTCAACTAAAAGTCATACTCGGATCAAAATAGAATCACTACCAAAATCCGGGAAAAGAAACCTAGTTTAAGAGATCGATAGGCACTTGGAAAATATGGATCTAATGATACACTATGTGGTAGAAAATTTCCAACATCTTTAGTCTTAACGAAAAAGTACCTGTAAAACAATCAACACCTTTGATAAAAGACCAAAGTCTTGCACCCACGAGGAGTTGGGGGAGGTTTGGCCAATAGAACTCCGATGCCTAAGTTTCTCGGAAAATAGTGAGTGTTTAGGGCTTGTATGCATAGCAAAAGCATACCAAAATTGGTGGAGATGGAGGAGTTTATAGGAGGTAGTGGCTGACCAAGGTGTAGGTTTTGCCTTACACATGGCGACCTACTATTAGCCAAGTTATGTCATACGTAGGATGCGCAAGGAAATGATATTTCTAAGATATTAATTAGGAGATAATATCTTAGAATAATGGTGAAAATATCCCTTATTGATTGTAATAGGGATTCCTTACTTGAGAGAGTTGGTCTTCAATTGGGAATGTATTAAAGATATGTTTTAGTAATTAATCCTATCTTTAATGCTTTTGACTTCTCCACACCACGAGCAGGGGAGCCTTGAGCAGTTGTAGTGTGTTGTTTCACTTCTAGGGATGATGAGCTATAGGTGGGAATATAAATGTGCCTTACCCATTTAATGAGGGCAATCTTGTCTTTCTTGAACAAAAGGCCATGTGTCACCTCCAAGATTATTGGGGTTATTTTTTGCTCCACAAATAATGTCACACCTACTGGGCTACTCGCAGGAAAGGGTAGTAGGTGTAGAAATCCCAAACTGCTTAGGTAAGTAGAGAGTTGGTTCCCAATTTGATGTAGATACTTAAACTAGGAGATAAATTCTTTAGGAAAGGGAAACCAATTGCCACCAATACTTACTTAATTCTGCCTTAAGCAGGGTGTTGAATAAATTTGAAGAACAATCTTTATCCTTACAAGAAAGAGAGGAAGCTAGAGGAAATATATTCCCCCTCCCCTAGCTTTCTTCTTTGCTTGTCTTTGCAAACAATTGTTTCTCGTTGTTCTTTTTCTTCTCTGCGCCACACCAAGGTAAAAAAAAAAAAATATTTTCGTTGTCTTCTTCTTTGGTAGTGTTGCCGCGAGGCAGCCGTCAAGGTGGTGTGGCGCGTTAGCTTGCAAGCGGCAAAAGGTCAGCTCGACTGGGGCCAAGGTGAACGGCTAGCGTGAGCTAGGAAGTGTTGAAGGAGTTAGAAGAATGGTACAAGCCTTCTGCCTACTGGCTACTGGTGGAGAGTAGTTTGGGCTGCAGGCCTGGCCTATTGGATTGATGAAGGTGGAGGCGTGGGCTTCCTATCTAGTTTGGCCTAAGGAAAGAAAGAGATGAGGGAGCCAATGTGGGCTAGGCTCCCTACCTTGCTAGATCAAGAAAGATGGGGGAAGAAATGGCACTAGTCTCTTCCTTCTGAGCTAAGAAGAAGAAAGGAAAAGTGGGAGGTGTTGGTAGGCCTCCCTAGCCTCAGGTCGTGGCGTGTTGGGCTACTGCCTGGTGCCCCCTGCTTCATGCATGCTTTTATCTTTTTTTCTTTGTGAACCTCATTGTAATATTTTCCTTATGCCCTCCATGCATGAATTCTTTGAATATGTCTCACTCGAGTTACCAAGGTGATGGGATATATTCCGCTATTGTGTAGTCAAAGCAAATTTTCTGGTAAGGTTGGGTACTCCAAGGTCATTCATGTCAAGATTAATTCCAACGAGCTATTTAGAATCTTCTTTGAGATGCATAGGCACGCAATTTCGCATGATGGTAGGATTCTACTGCTTCTGGAAAGCTAACAACAAGCTGTTTTCAGTATCTAGATCGGGAGATAGAGTGAAGTATCCAGTTGTGGCTAAGTCTAGATCGACTTCTGAAAGGCTTGCCACTATGAGAAGTGGGAAGGAAAGTTTGTCACTTGGAAAAGTGGATTAGGTTGTTAAAGAGGTGTCAAAGCCTACTCCTTCCAATGCTACTACGTCTGTACTTCTTGCTAAGAAATAAGGAATTGCTCGAGTTTGATTTCTCAACTACCTTAGATGGAGAAGTTGAGGATGAAGCTACCAAGATCAGAGCTACTTGAGATCAAGTGTCAGATGAGCAAATTGTTGAGTGCAAAATGGCTGCTGAAGGCTGGATGGCTGCAAGAAAGCTAATTATCATCCAAGCTGTTAATGAGTAGTTTTGCTTTATTTAGCATGTGTCGGATTTTGACAAACGTCGTGCTAATTTATTGACATACAAGAAATTTAATAAATTGTTTTCTTCTCTTTCTTCATCTTCATTTTTCTTGAAACTTTTCTTGCTTTAAGTGTCTTGCAAAACTTTTAGCTATAGGATCATCGAATAAGTGCACTGCTTTGAAAAAGAAGACGATCCCACGGAGTCAGTGTGGCTTAAGCTTTGGCTTCTCAGGGCATCGAGTTGTTGGGTTCATCGTGAGTTGCTGCCCCCTGACCATATGCTGCTTAGCTAATCGTTGAGTCTTTTGGTCCTTTGAGCTACATGGCCTACATCATAACATGATAAAGATTTTTGGGACATGAAAATTGTTAACTAATCATATAAAAAATATAAATAAATAAAAAAGGCAGTTTACCCTCTCCTGCTGGAGATTAGACGTAGATGGGTATCAGAGAATTAGTTTACCCTCTCATATGAGAGCAGACCCAAATAGGTGTCAAGAAATTAGTTTATCATCTCGCGCTGGAGAGTAGACCCAAATGGGTGTCAAGGAATTAGTTTACCATCTCGCGCTGGAGACCAGACCTAGATGGTTGTCAGGAAATAAATTTACCTTCTCACGCTAGAGAGCAGACCCAAATAGGTATCGGGGAATTAGTTTACCCTATCACATTGGAGAGCAGATGCAGATAAATGTCAGGGAATTGGTTTACCTTCTCGCAGATAGGTGTCGGGGAATTAATTTACCTTCTCGTAGATGGGTGTTGGGGTATTAGTTTATGCTCTAGCACTAGAGAGCAAACCCAAATGGATGTTGGGGAATTAGTTTACCCTCTCGTACTGAAAAGCATGGAAGAGCATACCCAGATGTGTGTCAGGGGATTAGGTTACCTTCTCACACTGGAGAGCATGAAATTCATTGTTGTGAGTGTAGCTAAAGAAAGCTAGATTGCTGGACAACTGAAATAATCCTCTGAAGGAAAAATTTGTGAAAACAAGTTCATTTGAGCAACATCTATACATGCAATTAACAATTAAAGGGCAGAGTCATGCTTGTATGCACTCAAAAATAAAACTTTACCCATGAAATTCAAGGCCAAGTAATTGTGGTGAACCAAAACTCAACTCAAATCTTAAAGAAAAGAGTTGAGAAACTTTCATACCTTTGAAGCACCTCTTTGCTTAACAAACGATATTCACCCATATGAGGGCCTTCTTTCCTTAGTCTCCTTGCTCCTTGACTCCATGGATGTGGATGGAGGAACTTTGGTTCTAGGCTCCATGACTTATTGGATGGATGAAGGACTGACTCTCCAAGTTTCCAAAATAGGGAACCTCTAAGTCTCCACACCAAGGAGAGCATTGAGGAAGAGATGAGTGACCTAGAGGAAGAAAGATTGCTAGCTATTTTTCTCTAGGGTGACGGGTCTCCTAAGAGAAGAGAGAGCTTTGTGTTCTCATCTTTTCTCTCTAGAAAACCCTTATGAACTTTTGGCTATAAAGTCCTCTATATAGTCACTTCACTTAAGTGACAAAAAGAACCAAAACTCATTCATTTACAATATGGCTGGCCTTCTAAAGGCTTTGGGCTGTTTGGGCCCTTTTGAGTCTTTAGTCATTAAGTTGTCATACAATTTAAGTTAATGAGCTTGATGGTTCTAAGCCTAATGGGCCTTGAGGTCGAATAATTACTCAAAAGCTAAAATGAACTTATTCGTTTGATTAATTAACATATTAATTAATCCTAGCCATAAATAATTAAACCATTTAATTATCCTTGCTCATCTCCGTTGTTTCCTTCAATCTCTACCTCACACGGTGTACAATATATTAGGTTCCTTTTAGTGAGGCAGTGGGTGATCAGAATTCTTCAAATCGATTATGAATTGAAACATACTTTCAATTCTCCCTTTAGTGATTATACACCTTTAGAGCTTCCACAAACCATGAGTGACACCTAGCAGTATATCATGGCTACCCAAGCTAATCAGAAGAGGTGGAGAACCTATTCAGTTTAGGATTACAATGTAATACAGTCTTTCTCTAGTACAATACTCTTGACCACATTGCTTCATTTGATAGTTTATTCATGTCTATTATCCAATGTGATTCTTTTACTTATATGATTACCTTGAATGTGATTTGGAATGACTTCCTAAATCACATTCATACTCTGGCTAGAGATACTTAATCATATCATAAAGTATTCTCCCTCAAATGGTTTGAAGGCTAGAGATCCCTTGTTATGCATTCACTTGCCTCCATGGCTAAGTGGCTTAACCCCAACTATGATGTGGACACCCTTTGACAGAGTGACTTTGACATAGTCAAAGATCAAGGACCTAACCACAAGATATCTATGATGCCTCAGGTCAAATGACTACTTTTCATTATCCTAAACATGAGTTCTCATATGACATGAGTACGAGAACTCTTTGTTAATCGCGTTTAGTGGACTCATTCTCTATTGAGCACCTACATGCTTGTCTTGGTGTTAGTCACACCAATGACTCGAGACCAGTCATTCTCCCTAAGAGAAGACATAACACGTACTGATCTTAA